CCACCGACGCAGCCCCAAACAGTTTCTTTCGAAACTATCAGCCTTTATTCTTTGCCAAAGAGACATTTTAGCTACCCTTTGTCTTGCCGCAGCTTGTGGTGTATTTTGCTCTTTGAAAACGAGTCAGCGAGGAAAAGATAGAAAATGGAACTTTACTGATATCCATCCTTGCTTAACCATGTTAATGATTTCTTTTCCTTTAGTGTAAATTGTGTCATGCTATTACAATAGCCATCGACAAAAATCAAAGAGATGGTTATAAAAGTTCGGTACTGTTTACCTCTATTGTCTCAAAGTTTTCAATGTTTCTTTTCTGCTCGTGAAAATTATATTATTATCATAGCAGCCTTCCTTACAAATCAGAGGTATTATCGTTGTTTAACTGACCTTATCGATCAATTTTGTTCACAGGTATGAACACCTTTGGGATGTTAAGAGTCCTTAATGTAACACATCAACATTTTATAGTGTATTAGCATGATAATGCGCTGAAAAGCTGGTAATATCTCCATTAGATTAAAGTAACTGATCGCAAAATGATAGAAACGAGGTTTTACAGAAAACAGGGTTTCTCATTCTCAAACCATTTACAATAAAAATTCTGCGAAAAAATCCTAAAAACAAAACGCTATCGAATTTACCATTCCCGGTCAAATTAAAACCATTGCTTGCTATGTGTTACTTCGTATTGTCCGTATTCGGACTTCCTCGGAATATCCAACTACGAATCCTCCTAGCGTTTTGCTTCCCTCTGTATAACTCAATAAATTAATCGAAAAATGTGGAGACATTACGTTTCTTTCCTTATCAATGCCGTGTTATTTGAACAAAAACGTGGTGACGAAATTAAGGAAAAACACAGCAATTCTTTAAAAGGAACTTCCGCGAAACTCGGAAGGCAGTAATCGGTCACAATTTGAACGAGGTAGCAAAGAAGCATCGTAAGATTTGATACGTGAAGCAAGCAAAACTGCCCTGACCAACTCTGATAAACAAATAAGAAAGACCTAAACAACAAAAAAACAGTAACACAAGGTTGAATTTAAGGAAGTGACGCAGAGAAAAAATAGTGTGAAAAAATATGTTATCAAATAGAGGAAAGGACACAAACAACAACGATTGCGTAAAGGAATAAAAATAAGAGAAGAAAAGGAAGGTAGTTTTCTTGAAGACTAGCAGAAAGCAAGTCAGATAAGGGTCTGTCTTTAGCTGCGTTTTCATATCTCTTCAAAAATTATTTTCCAGACAGAAATAAAAGTGCGGTGCTGCTAAACAAAAGTCACCCCCTAAGCTTGATAGCAGTACGGAGACAGAAAGGTACGCCTGAGTCTAAAAAGGGCTCTAGGATAATCTAGCTTGTACAAGGTGGCCGGGCCAAGTGCACTTTTATCCTTGTGCAGGCGTTAATGGACGTTATAAAGAGATTTGGCATTAGAGAGATAGGGGCCGCTTGGTTAAGTGCTTAAAATCACTATGTAAAAAAAATTATAATAATAAAAATAAAATTGGGACCCTTGAAGCTTTCTGTAAGCTAAACAAATAGCGATCAGTAACCCTCTCGCTAAAAAATCACTTCAAAACGATCTAGACTATATCTCAATCGTACCCTGTCACATTATAGTTTAGGAAAAGATGCTTTGGAGAAGACTTTTTGCTCGAATTTGTAAGTTTAATCCATCTGCCAACATCTGTGCGGGAAAATTAGCTAATGGAGACATTTGATCCGATCATTATAAATCAAGGGCTCCAACTGAAAGAAAGTGAAACTAAACCTTTTGACGTAGAGAGGAAATAAAATCTACAACGAAAACATGTTGTATTTATTTTGAATAAATCGAACTATTTGTCTGAAAAAAGTTATTAGGTTTCAGAAATACGAATAGATAAAATAACCGTATAAAAAATATAGCTAAGAGTGATCATAGAAATCATATCCTACAAAATCAACTTGCATGATTGGGAGACAAAAAAATTTGCGTAGACTCGAAACTGAAACGGTTTTCAACAGGAACAAGTCTAACCTTGTGAACTTTTCTTAAATTGGCTTTCGTGAGATCATTACCTTTGAGGTTATTTCACAAACAATGAAACTGAAAGTGGGATTAGAACGACTCCTTTTTCAAACTACCTCTTATTCATAAATTAATGCTTGTGAAATGGAATATGTCTCGTAACATTCATGGTAACTAAACTGTGGTTCATGATGTGCTTGCGTCGATTAACACTGCGATCGTTTCTCCTGCTTCGAATTATTCCTACGGTGAAGCAATTTCCATATTCAAGTTTTGTCGCAATTATCTTTTGTTTTTCACGGAGTCCAAAAAATAGTGCTAATTCAATCTTTCACTCAACGCGCACAAACAACAAAACAATGAAGAGAAACGGCTCGTTCTGTGATACGTTTATTTATCTAATCCACCACAAAAATTCCTGTCACACTAGAAAGGTAACCGATTTTTGTTAAAGTGTTTCAGTACGACTGAAAAGGAACACAGAATACGGAACAACATTTGTTTCAGTTGTGTCATGTTGTTCCGCCTTGACCCGTGGAACCTTATCAACCAGCTTTATTTAGCGGCAATATTCTGATCATCGTGAAAAAAAAATTACCTCTAAATTGGAAAAAGATATACTTTCTTCTTTAAACAAATTTTCATTTTACCCACTGCTTGGATAGCTAATTCTATGCTACTTTTCTTGAATATCAGACAAAAAAAAAAACAGTACGATCATTAGATCTTTCTTACAGTGACCTTTCCATTTTTCCGGGTTGTGAGCTGGTGGTTTTTGTCGTTTTCGACTCAGTTAGGAATGGGTTGCGTGGGAGGTAACTCAGATAACATTAATTTTTGAGCAGGCTTTCTGTTTTGGCCAGTGTTGTTGAATGGAAAAGCGGTTGTCTGGCGGAGTTTGACAGAATTGTTGTTTTCCAAATCACAAAGCAAACAAAGCCAGACTCCGCGCAACACGCAAGCGATCCCCGGTTGCAACTAAAAGAGACAGGAAGAGTAGGAACTGCTCTAAAAATACCCCTTCAGTCACCCAAAAATATACCAACAAAAAGAAAAACAACCAGTAATTTCTCTAGCGGCGAGTAACCTCTTGGAAGATTCGACATTTGACGAGGTGTTCTAAGAAACTGTTAGCTTGTTTTTTTCTGATAACAAATGATGGCAACCAAATGTTTCCATATAGGCAGCGATATTGTTAATTTTTCAAACGTAAGCGAAAATCGACGGCCAAAACATCTTGATGACAAAAATGTTTTTGAGACAGCTGAGGAACGAAACAGTAAGGTGTTAAAAACATTTGTGCCTGTGATAAAAAACCAAAACTTTTTTACCTGACAATACAAGAAAAACAGATTACTTGTATTATGTCAGTCACCAAAATAAGGCGTTGTGCTATATTTTGGAAATGTAACACAGTTAAGCCGGCTGAGGGCATCCGTAACAAGTCCATGACTTAAATTTCACTTTATCCGTTAATTTTCAAGTTTTACATACCAATCTAAATCAACGCTGTTTATCAGGAGAAGAAATAGCTCATACAACTAACCGGCTCCATGTTGACATTATCATCCATTTAAAGCCGGAAACTGATGCTAATGATACCTCGAACTATTTTTGTCAACACCGATTTCCTAAGGTGACCATAGTCAGTTGCTCTACAAAAATAGAAATTAGATTTTGGGTCGAAGTTATGCGTTTTCAAGTAAAGACAATTTCGAAAAAAATGGTCTGCATTTCAAAGATTTTATCGCATCGGAAAAAATCAATTGTCCCTCATTGTCCGCTGGTAACGACTGGGTACCACAACGCGACAAAATTGCAATTTTTGATGCAGTAGAACATATTAGGAAAGGACATATCAATCAAATTTTGCGCTTTCTAACATTTTAAGATCGAAACAGCGCAGAAAATTACTAGAAAGATCACAATTAATTTCTAGTTATTACAATCATATGAGTTACAAAACGCCGTCATTATCGTCACATGATTTTAGCTTTGAACGTTCCGTATATTTTGTCTTTGTTGATGACATGATAGGCAACTGGTCACTACCGCCAGTAAACTCGCTCACGGCTCTGACTGCAGATTTAAGTGAAATACGACGCATTTACAGAGAGTCTATCTGCTATTTGACTGGGGATTTGGATAAATTTCGCTGAACGATCGGGTCGGCTGCGACTCGAGCTAGCGACGAAAACACAAACAGCGCGAGTTTTGACCGCGTGCAACCCGACCTGACTTTGAATAATACAAATACAGCAAAATTAACTAGGCAGATTCGATAGTTTTACCTTTATCATCCAGAATGCGTTTTCTCTTTTGATTCTTTTCGAGCGAATTGACGTCTCCTTGTAGATCTGTCTCGTCCATGGCGCCAAGCCGAAGTAGAAGGCAGTGTTTTCCGCGACTTGTCGCAACCAACTGAAAGCCACTGTAAAATGACTCGTTTGTTCGTCTGCTGTTATGACATCATCGACCGCTGAATGACCGCTGTAACTCCGCCTTTAACGACTCTCCCGCTTAGGCGATGACATGACAGCATTTGATAGTCAGCACACGTTTCTATAATGGCTTGGAATTGTGGCAAAGATTTTTCCGTTGAGACCAGTACTACTAACAACTCTATCCTTTAGCGCCCCTTATCTGTTTCGAAATCGCTAAGCGACTGACGCGTGACATTCCTGTGACATTTTAATCTATTCCATAGTCTTAATCGTGTCATGTGGATGTCACATATCTATCATACCACCAATTGAATTAGACAGCTGCGAACTTTATTTGCAGTTGAATACATAATTTCCTATTTTCGTCTTTTGTTTATTCACTTAAAAGAAACTCAAACAGACTTCTTCCTTTTCAAAGTTATCGTTCGTTTGGTCGATGAAACATTGTTTCTCCTCTTTTTGTGCTTGCGGAAAGTTTCATCAAAGCGAGAATATACGGACACGATTAAAAATTTACGGAATTCACGACTCAGTGTCTAGACATTCATCTATCTTAAAAACACTGGATGTTCCAATTATCTTATAAAGTAGCCGTAACTAATTGAATGCAAAACGTGGCCATTGTGTTTTCTAAGGAAACTGAAAGAAACCTGTTCTACAATGAAGTGCCATAAAATCGGAAAGAAGCTTGGCTGACATCTAACAGGGCTCAGAACAGAGGAAATGTTAACATACAATGACTCCACCCTTAAAGCGAACCGTGACTACGGTATTATCACGAAAGTAATGAACCATTCGAATATTCGAAAGTAGAAGACATCCGAAATGAATAGTTAACAGCCACGGTGTCCCGAGAACGGAAGCGGAAAGCATATTCTCGGGCAACTGGCAATAATTACCTCTGTCGTTTCTTGCGTTCTAACTTTTTCAAACTATTTTTGAGGTTTAATTGTGTTACAGGCATTGAACTATGTGCAAAAACTGTTGATAAGAATTACCTGGAACAGTTGCTGCATAGTGTAGTATGAAGTCCGCTAGTTCGTAGCCAGCGTGATTGTGCAACGAATCACTGCTGAACGTGCGTTTACGAGCCAACGAAGAGCAGCACGCGCGTGCGGGTCGCGAGAAAAATGGTAGGCCAGAAGAGGAGTTGAAAGAAACGCTCACATGTGCAGCCAGTCGTCCTGATAATAGTTCCTAAATACATTAGAAATTTCCAATTACGCGTGGTCGATTTAAACCCTTATTGGCTAACGTGATTTCTTTGATTTTGTTTTACGACACCTGGTTTAAAAACCGAAAATAAAAAATTGAAGAGTTTATTAATTTTCACATGTGGTGCAGCCAAACATGGAAATTTGAAAACGTCCTTTCTGTTCACAACTACTGAACAGCTTAGCTCGTTTAAATTCCTTAGCACCTTAGACTGGTGATAATGCCAGAGGCGTTCTTTCGTCTGAATCTGGGATTTAGAAAGTGGGATGATGTTATGAATATCACACAATACCTAAGTACCTCTCTATGATTTTCTGAGATTTGTGTACAGTCGAACCAGTATTACGTGGCACTGTATTAAACGGTCACCCCAAACTGTAGATTTTCAAAGTCCCCAACTTTTTCCCCCTTAATAATATACATGAAAACATTTCTCAGTTATGATTGGTTAAGATGAATGCAGTTTTCAGTTAATTCAGTGCAGATGGGACTTAATTCAGTGCAGAAGAGGGTTAATTCAGTGCAAAGAAAGAAACAAACCAGACATTCTGATTGGTTAGAATGATTAGTCAATGTCAATGTCAAGGTCAAGGTCAATGTCAAGGTCAATGTCACTTGCAGGGTTTGAATAAATTATTTTTGCCCCTGATGCGCGCGCTTTTCTTCTGCGTAGTTATGAGAAGCTACCTCGTATTTTTTCATGTATATTGTTAAGACATAATCACATGATTTTCTCGTGCAATTTGGAATAAATAAGCACGAGTACATTTTTTCAAAGACTAACAAAATTGCATGAGCCCGTAGGGCGAGTGCAATTTGAGGCCTTTGAAAAAATTTACAAATGCTTATTTATTCCAAATTGCACTCGAAATCATGTGATTACCTATACTAATTACTATAGTTTTCACCTCTACTAGACAGTTATCACCCATATTAAGCGGTCGTGGTCACCCTTTACTTAGTCCCGACGACTTGTTAATTGTCTTCCACCTGTGTTGAACGGACGCTTAAAGCAAAACCAATCAAGCGAAACTAAAAATAATCTTTCAAGTAAAATTCAATCCATATTATCTCCCGAAATCGTTGTTGGTAGAATTTTTGAGCGAATTTTTGTACCTTAATAGTTCAATCATGGCATAAAATGATGTTCTTTGTCGTTTCTTTATATAATGATACTCCTATTTTGTGGAACCTGTATCAAGCGCTCACCATGTCATTCCCCATGGGTGACGGCATGTACTAAAACCAGGAAAACCGGAACACGGGAACACCGGAACCAGAACAACATTTATTTATACCACAAAGAAATAAGATAAGAAACATTAAGAAACTATATATTTAGCGCCTGCTTCTAAGCTCTTTCGTGTTACGTGGGTAAAAAAATTACATCTACATTTTATTTTTTACACCGTCAAATCGGTGTTCCGGGGTTGTTCCGGTGTTCCGTGGTGTTCCTGGTTTTAGTACATGCCATAGGTAACCGCTCAACACAGGTTTGACTGTAAAAAGATTGATTTTATTGTGCGGGGCAATTTCATAGTGCCAGGGAATACTGATAATATTATACCGGCGAATTACAAAATTAAACGAGACTTACTTGTAAGTTGAAGTTTGATTGGGATTTTATCCTGTCATCAGTCCGGAACGAAGGAGTCACATGAGATGCGCGCGCATGCTGCCGGTCAGTCTTCAACGTGAATGGCACAGGATAAGGAACGAAGGAGAAGGGTAGGGTGGGTTGGGATGTGACTCCTTCGTTCCGGACTGATGACAGGATAGAATCCCAGTCAAACTTCAACTTACAGGCAAGTCTCGTTTAAATTTGTAATTCTATCCTGTCATCAGTCTACGTCACTACGGAGTCACATGAGACTTCAAAGTCCTGTGCCATGAGTTATCAACAAAATCAGACATAGTTCAACAACAATAACGGCATTTATTGTCAAAAGGGGCTACAGATGTGTATCATTGTTCACTCCAATAACGTGTGTCCAAAATTTGCTGCTCTATCGACCGGCTTCTCATAGAAACGTGCAAAAGTTCCAGAGTTGAGCCATCCTGCTGCTTTCAAAATTTCTTGTATCGCAAGTCCCTTAGCTTTACAAGACGAAGTGGACGCAGATCTGATACTGTGTGCAGAATAGGCGGTGATGTCAATTCCTGTTGATTTCATAACTGCCTTTCTCCATCTAGATACAGTGTCCCGCGAAACAGGATCACGAGCCTTGATGTAGGTTAAGAGCAACTGGGAACGCTCCTTCCTTAGTGGCATAGGACCTATGGTCCTACTAGGGCTTTCAGTCAGATCATAGTATTAACTATGGTCAGATGCTCCACTACACAAAGTTTTTTGTCCTCTTTAAAGGCTAAAAGTTCGATAGGCTCCAGGTGCTTTGGGATTCAGAGAAAGACCAGTTTCTTCCTGTTGAAATCTCCCCACAATGAGCACCCTACCCCAAGAGTGAGGCATCTGTGGTTATAAGGAGCTCAGGTTTAGGGTGGTAAATTACATTGAAGGAAAATCCAACAATTCTAACCCACCACTGTAGCTCCTGAAGGGTTCCATGTGACAATGTCATATAGGAGTCAAAATTGCCTTTATTTCTTTTAAGAGCTGCAGTTTTGTCAGCTTCGAGTTGTCTGTAGTATAAAGGACCATGCATGACCCCTGGGAAACTTGATACTAGTTTACCAAGTACTCTGGCTTCTTCTCTGATGGTAATTTTGCCATGCTGAACATCCTTGACAATTCGTCCCCAAAGATTAGTTGTGAAGTATAACAGGTACTTCAAATGAGCATATTGACTTTTATTATCCAACTACACCTAGACGAGTACAAATAACGCCATAGACGAGTACAAATATCACGCGGTATTTGTACTCGTCTATTGTAGTACCGGTTAAACAGGTTTTCCCGCATCGCGCAAGCGAAGAATTGGATTGTAGTTACGACAAAAAAAAAA